TGGAGAAACACCAGTTGGGATTTAGGAGTTGGGGTGGGGGATGGTTCTAGTTTTCTCAATTTTTTTTTTTTACAGTCTTTTCATCAAAAAATGTTCACTTGCAGAGCATTTGGCATGATTACTCAGCTAGACAATTAAAAAGGTGGCGGCTGATTTTGAGAGGGGACTGAGCACTCACCTCCCATTGAGTTAACCTGGTGCCCTCAACACCTGTGAAAAATCAAGCCCTTCATGTCCAAATCCCCTCCTAACCTCGTTCAGCAGAAGTCACTTCTTCCCTTCAAAGGAGTTTCCTGGAGAAATTCTCTCTTAGAAAATCCTTGGCAAGGAACCTTAGCCAGTCTTGGCATGCAAACCTGCCTCACGCTGTCACAAGCAAGACTCTGCTTTAAATGTTGATGAGCTCTTTGCTGCCAGTTAGCGATGGGAAACGCAGTCTGTGTGTTAAACCAGAGCTGGGAATTACGTCCAAATGCCAAACCGTTTGTTACACTTACTGCCCACCGCCTTCCGCCTTGGGGGGCGGAAATCTTCTTGACAAGCTAGTCCGGCTCATTCAGGCCAGGCAGAGGTGCGGTTAGAGAAATGTGTGAAGTCAGATAACCACAGACACCTCTGGAGGTCTCTCTCTGCCACTGATGAGAACCTTGGAACAGAGGAATGCCAAACTGGATCAGATCGGGGTCCATCTGGCCCATTATCCTGTCCCTGACATGGGCCAGCACCAGTTGCTACACAGGTTGGTGGACTTGTCACAGTTGAGAGGAACTGCGCCTGTATTCCCTCCCCGTCATGCAGGAAGGACACCCGCTCTAGGCTCCTGGTTCTTCACCTCTCCTGGGTGCAGACCCGCCACTGTCACCCTGCAGGGTTCTTCTAGGCTACACTGCTCCCTGCCTACACTGTGATATCCCCAGCAAGCCAGATTGCCGAAACAGACTAGTGACTGCGCTTCGCTTTCCCCTCTGAGGCTATGAACAGCGTAGTTGCCCCCTGTCTCAAGTGACCCCACAGCTCTTTATAAACAAGCATATTTATTCTTCAGGTGAGCCTCACAGAGAAATCATACACAAAATAAAAATCCCTATACGCCTGCGGAAAGCTTCCCAGAGATCACCACCAGTCTTATGCGGCCTCAGTAGGCCAAAAACTTTCCATCCCTTCCCACGAAGGGTTGGGGCTCCCCTTGGTCAGAAAGTCCTGTCTGTTAGCTGGATCAAAAAGAAAGCCCTGAGACAGTTTAGACCAGACGTGGGCAAACTACGGCACACTGGGCCACATCCGGCCTGTAGGACCGTCCTGCCTGGCCCCCGAGCTCCCAGCCGGGGAGCCTAGTCCCCGGCCCCTTCCCCGCTATCCCCCATCCCCCGCAGCCATGCGGGCCGCGCTCTGGCCCACCACTCCCGCTGGGCAGCGTGGGGAGAGCAGCTGGCTTTGGCCGGGTGTCACGGCTGCGAGCTCCTGCTGCTGGTAAGGGGGTGGGGAGTGGGGGGGTTGGGGAAGGGAGCATGGGGTCCTGGGGGG